TATATATATATATATATAATATATATATTCTACCTCCAATATTTTGATGCCTACTCAAGTTATGATCGTTGTTTGGTGGATGTGTTGTCCAGACATGCTGGTTCTGTGTTCCTGGTCCCTGATCTCTTTTCGAGTCCCTCTGTTGCGTGATGGATTACTACATACATTCAACTTGCTAAAAGGATAGTACACACTACATGCAGTAAATACTAGCGGCCATTGAAGAGGCGGGGCCAGGAGCTGTGACTCGACCCCTGCAACCACAACTAGGCGAGTACACAAGCTTTAAAAAAACATATAAATAGCTATAAACACCAGTGAGCCGCGAGATAACCGTGACCTATTAAGATATATAAGCTTATGAAAGAGTAGAAAAAGAGGAGGAGAGGGTGTATGTGTTGGTAAACACAGGACTGTTACCAAGATAACTCCTGACCGGCTATGATAACAGGTGTAGAGACAACCTAACACAACACTGGCGCCTGTAAGGTGATGATGGTAACCCATGTTTGTAGGGACGCCGTGTTTGTATGTGTCGAGGGGGGGACTGGGTGTAGCGTGGTGTGTGGGAGGTGGGTGTAGCGTGGTGTGTGGGAGGTGGGTGTAGCGTGGTGTGTGGGAGGTGGGTGTAGCGTGGTGTGTGGGAGGTGGGTGTAGCGTGGTGTGTAGTAGCTGGTTGTAGCGTGGTGTGTAGTAGCTGGGTGTAGCGTGGTGTGTAGTAGCTGGTTGTAGCGTGGTGTGTAGTAGCTGGGTGTAGCGTGGTGTGTAGTAGCTGGGTGTAGCGTGGTGTGTAGAAGCTGGTTGTAGCGTGGTGTGTAGTAGCTGGGTGTAGCGTGGTGTGTAGTAGCTGGTGTGTAGCGTGGTGTGTAGTAGCTGGGTGTAGCGTGGTGTGTAGTAGCTGGGTGTAGCGTGGTGTGTAGTAGCTGGGTGTGGTGGTGTGTAGTAGCTGGGTGTAGCGTGGTGTGTAGTAGCTGGGTGTAGCGTGGTGTGTAGTAGCTGGGTGTAGCGTGGTGTGTAGTAGCTGGTTGTAGCGTGGTGTGTAGTAGCTGGGTGTAGCGTGGTGTGTAGTAGCTGGGTGTAGCGTGGTGTGTAGTAGCTGGGTGTAGCGTGGTGTGTAGTAGCTGGGTTTAGCGTGTGTGTAGTAGCTGGTTGTAGTGTGGTGTGTAGTAGCTGGTTGTAGCGTGGTGTGTAGTAGCTGGTTGTAGTGTGGTGTGTGTAGTAGCTGGTTGTAGCGTGGTGTGTAGTAGCTGGGTTGTAGTGTGGTGTTGTAGTAGCTGGGTGTAGTGTGGTGTGTAGTAGCTGGGTGTAGCGTGGTGTGTAGTAGCTGGTTGTAGCGTGGTGTGTAGTAGCTGGTTGTAGCGTGGTGTGTAGTAGCTGGGTGTAGCGTGGTGTGTAGTAGCTGGGTGTAGTGTTGTGAGGTTGAATTAGCATTAAGGAGGCCCAGTCATTCTTATCTATGTATCATTAAGAATGAGATACATTATCGTTTGTTATATGGATGAAGATGTTCTCTGCAGCTTGTAACTATTATAGTTGTTCAGACAGAACTTGGCAAAAATAACATCTGTACTGTAAATAATATAGGTCTGGGAACACAGCTCTATGATACACCTAGGGACGCTCCCTGGGTCTTGGAACACTGCTCTATGATACACCTAGGGACGCTACCTGGGTCTGGGAACACAGCTCTATGATACACTAGGGACGTCCTGGGTCTTTGGAACACTGCTATGATACTCCTGGGACGCTACCTGGGACTGGGAACAACTGCTTTTATGATAACTAGGACGTACCTGGGAACACTGCTCTATGATACACCTAGGGACGCTCCCTGGGTCTTGGAACACTGCTCTATGATACACCTAGGGACGCTACCTGGGTCTGGGAACACTGCTCTATGATACACCTAGGGACGCTACCTGGGTCTGGGAACACTGCTCTATGATACACCTAGGGACGCTACCTGGGAACACTGCTCTATGATACACCTAGGGACGCTACCTGGGTCTTGGAACACTGCTCTATGATACACCTAGGGACGCTACCTGGGTCTGGGAACACTGCTCTATGATACACCTAGGGACGCTACCTGGGAACACTGCTCTATGATACACCTAGGGACGCTACCTGGGTCTGGGAACACTGCTCTATGATACACCTAGGGACGCTACCTGGGTCTAGGAACAATGCTCTATGATACACCTAGGGACGCTCCCTGGGTCTGGGAACAATGCTCTATGATACACCTAGGGACGCTACCTGGGGCTGGGAACACTGCTCTATGATACACCTAGGGACGCTACCTGGGTCTGGGAACACTGCTCTATGATACACCTAGGGACGCTACCTGGGTCTGGGAACACTGCTCTATGATACACCTAGGGACGCTACCTGGGTTTGGGAACACTGCTCTATGATACACCTAGGGACGCTACCTGGGTCTGGGAGCACTGATCTATGATACACCTAGGGACGCTACCCTGGGTCTGGGAGCACTGATCTATGATACACCTAGGGACGCTCCCTGGGTCTGGGAACACTGCTCTATGATACATCTAGGAACGCTCCCTGGGTTTGGGAACACTGCTCTATGATACACCTAGGGACGCTCCCTGGTTCTGGGAACACTGCTTTATGATACACCTAGGGACGCTACCTGGGTCTGGGAACACTGCTCTATGATACACCTAGGGACGCTACCTGGATCTGGATCCCACATCAGAGACTATTGAGGAAAATTAAAGCACATGGAATAGGAGAAATTTTTTCCTGGATAGAGGCATGGTTGACAAATAGGCAGCAGAGAGTTTGCATAAATGGGGAGAAATCAGAGTGGGGAAGCGTCACGAGCGGTGTTCCACAGGGGTCAGTGTTGGGCCCCCTGCTGTTCACAATCTACATAAATGGCATAGATGAGGGCATAAAGAGCGACATCGGCAAGTTTGCCGATGACACCAAAATAGGCCGTCGAATTCATTCTGACGAGGACATTCGAGCACTCCAGGAAGATTTGAATAGACTGATGCAGTGGTCGGAGAAGAGTGGCAGATGCAGTTTAATATAGACAAATGCAAAGTTCTAAATGTTGGACAGGACAATAACCATGCCACATATAAACTAAATAATGTAGATCTTAATATTACGGATTGCGAAAGGGATTTAGGAGTTCTGGTTAGCAGTAATCTGAAACCAAGACAACAGTGCATAAGTGTTCGCAATAAAGCTAATAGAATCCTTGGCTTCATATCAAGAAGCATAAATAATAGGAGTCCTCAGGTTGTTCTTCAACTCTATACATCCTTGGTTAGGCTCATTTAGATTATGCTGCACAGTTTTGGTCACCGTATTACAGAATGGATATAAATTCTCTGGAAAATGTACAAAGGAGGATGACAAAGTTGATCCCATGTATCAGAAACCTTCCCTATGAGGATAGACTAAGGGCCCTGAATCTGCACTCTCTAGAAAGACGTAGAATTAGGGGGGATATGATTGAGGTGTATAAATGGAAGACAGGAATAAATAAAGGGATGTAAATAGTGTGCTGAAATATCTAGCCTAGACAGGACTCGCAGCAATGGTTTTTAAGTTGGAAAAATTCAGATTCAGGAAGGATATAGGAAAGTACTGGTTTGGTAATAGAGTTGTGGATGAGTGGAACAAACTCCCGAGTACAGTTATAGAGGCCAGAACGTTGTGTAGCTTTAAAAATAGGTTGGATAAATACATGAGTGGATGTGGGTGGGTGTGAGTTGGACCTGATAGCTTGTGCTACCAGGTCGGTTGCCGTGTTCCACCCTTAAGTCAATGTGACCTGACCTGACTAGGTTGGGTGCATTGGCTTAAGCCGGTGGGAGACTTGGACCTGCCTCGCATGGGCCAGTAGGCCTTCTGCAGTGTTCCTTCGTTCTTATGTTCTTATGTTCTTATGATACACGTAGGGACGCTACCTGGGTCTGGGAACACTGCTCTATGATACACCTAGGGACGCTTCCTGGGTCTGGGAACACTGCTCTATGATACACCTAGGGACGCTCCCTGGGTCTGGGAACACTGCTCTATGATACACCTAGGGACGCTACCTGGGTCTGGGAACACTGCTCTGAGACATCTAGGGACGCTCCTTGGGTCTGGGAACACTATGATACATCTAGGGGCGCTACCTGGGTCTGGGAACACTGATACATGTAGGGGCGCTACCTGGGTCTGGGAACACTGATACATCTAGGGGCGCTACCTGAGTCTGGGAACACTATGATATATCTAGGGACGCTCCCTGGGTCTGGGAACACTGCTCTATGATACATCTAGGGACGCTCCCTGGGTCTGGGAACACTATGATACATCTAGGGACGCTCCCTGGGTCTGGGAACACTATGATACACCTAGGGACGCTCCCTGGGTCTGGGAACACTATGATACACCTAGGGACGCTCCCTGGGTCTGGGAACACTATGATACATCCAGGGACGCTCCCTGGGTAAGAACCAACAGGTTCTTACCCATAGCTACCACTAGACCAAGTTGTGTTGACGCATTCGCTAAGCCTTGGAAAGCCAAATGCCAAATCATTTTTCTTTGTTTCGCAGAAACGACTTGCCTTAAGGCAGGACCACGACAATCCTCCATGCTACCACGATTTTAATTAATTACCTTAAGAACTATATTAGTATTCATTACAAGTGAACAGCGACTGTGCGAGGTCACCAAGAGTCCACCGGCGACTCTGACATTTGCGTCATTGACAACCACGTGTAGTTATTTTACTAATGTCCTGGCTCTTCTTATTCCGACAGTCTCGCGACTGATAGTCGCTTGCGAGTGCTGTTATCACCTTACTAATGTTCTTATTGTTCTTGTTCCAACAGTCTCGCTGCTAATGGGAGGCTGCCAGTGATGTTATTACCTCACTAATGTTTTTGTTCTAACAGAATCACTGTTAATGGGAGGCTGCCAGTGCTGTTATTACCTCACTAATGTTCTTGTTCTTGTTCCACCAGTATCACGGTTAATGGGAGGCTCCAACATGAACATGAACATGGGCAACGTGACGTCTCTCTCCACTTGCAGTATGGGCGACAACAAAGGAATGCAGTTCCCACTCTCACAGCGCAGAAAGCGACGGGTTCTCTTCACACAGGCGCAGGTCAGTGGTTCTCCGCTCACCTTACCCCTTTGCGCATTTACAAATAAAAAAAAAGGAAAAACGAAGGAAAAGTGGGAGAGGGAGGGAGAGAAATTGAATTGGTAAAAAGGGAAATGAAACAAGGGCTGAGGGGAGAAAAGGGTGAATGAGAGAGGAAAGTGACTCCCCCTCTCTCCGACTATCATTGTTATCTCCGTCATCACCCTCAGCCGTGTTATCGTTATCATGGCAATTATCGCCAAGATCACTACCTAAAACCATCATCATACCACTGTTATGTTTTTGTATATTAGTCTATCTTCCGACACCACAATGTATAACTATAAAATAGATTACATCACATGTCATACCAAGGACCTGGTCACAGACGGGGCGTTGAAACCCTCTCCAGGTATACTCCAGGTAATGGTGTCACTACTGCTGTTATACCTACTACGATACTACTACACCTGCCACTTTTCCAACACTACTACTACTACCACCACCACCACTGTTTTAACTACATCTAGTCATTTACTAAACGACCATGACCGCTGCTACCACAAATTCACTATGCTACTATTACTACTGCTGCTGCTATTACTATTAATAAAACTTATCACTAAACGACCAATACTGCTGCTAGCAAAGCTATTTCAGCTAAATTGTTATTACTGCTATTGCTATTACCATTGCCACTACTTCAACTACCACAAACACTATTACTACTGCTGCTATTAATACCAGACTACCGCTAAACTATTCCGCTTATTGTATCAATGCGACTAACACCACCAGACTAATTTTACCTCTTCTGCTGCACCTGATATATCCTGAGTTTCATTCCTGCTGCTGTCACCACTATTACTACTACTACTACTATCACTATGCCTATTATCCAGTGCTTTTCTCACCTGTTACTATCACTTCTAACAATCATTACACCTGTTTTTATCCGTCACTTTTCACTGCTACTGCTCCCACCACCACCATTACTACTAACAATACTACTACTACTACCAACACCACTACTACTACCACCACCACCACCACTACTAGTACTACCAACACTACTACTACCACCTCTACTACCATCACCACCATTACTAACAACAATACTACTACTAACACCACTACTACCAACAATACTACTACTACCACCACCACTACTACCATTACTACCACCACCACTACTACCACCACCACACCACCACTAGTACTACTACCACCACCACTACTACCACCACCACCATCAATACTACTACCACCATTACTACCACCACCACTACTACCACCACCATACATACTACCACCACCACCACCCAACCAATACTACTACTGCCACCACCACCACTAGTACTACTACCAACAGCACTACTACTAGTAGTCCTGCTCTTACCTGTTACCTTTCCCTCCACCTGCTGCCACAGGTGTACGAGCTGGAGAGAAGATTTAAACAGCAGAAGTACCTGTCTGCGCCGGAGATTGAGCAATTGGCCGCCCTCATCCACCTCACGCCCACGCAGGTGAGTCTCACGCCCTCGCAGGCGAACCTCACGCCCATGCAGGTGAGTCACGCCCACACCACATTAACGACACAGCTATAACTTTCTAGACAACGTTGAAAACATTTCAATATCTTGCAATGACATTTTGCAACACAGAATTGTGTGCACTGCGTGTACCTCATTATATACTGGCTATAATCTGAATAATTCATTGTATTCTATAATGCAGATAATGATTCATAATAATCATTAAGCGCTAAACCCACAAGGGTTATGCAGCATATAATGATTCATTTGCCTAAATTATTCAAATGATAAACAATAGTCTCAAAATTGTATGTAAATTAGAGTTTTAAAAGAGTTAAGTAATTGTGAGGAAGAGAAAAAGAGGGAGGGGAGGGGAGGGGAGGGGAGGGGAGAGGAGAGGGAGAGGGAGAGGGAGAGAGGTAATACTAGTATTACTAAATAAAGAAAATAAGATATTGAAGATCAGGGAGCGATGGTTGCTGAGGGAGGGTGCTGGGAAAGGGGTGAGGGGGGTGATGGAAAGGAAGGGGTAAGGAAGGGGGGGAAGCAAATATTATTAACAGTTAAGAGACAACGGTCTGACGCCACTGGGAGGGACGACCCTTTATTAAAATCTCTCTCTCTCTCTCTCTCTCTCTCTCTCTCTCTCTCTCTCTCTCTCTCTCTCTCTCTCCTCTTATCATACACACAATTCTGTGCAATTGCAAAATGTCATTGCAGGACATTGAAATCTTTTCAACGTTGTCTAGAAAGTTTTTAAAAGCGAGAAATGGAAATCTTTATCATCCCCAGCCTGTGTCCACCGTCCCTTCTGTGCCTCGTGTCTTAATTATGTCTCGTCAACGATACCTGTCTCTCCGTCTCGTCAACGATACCTGTCTCTCCGTCACGTCAACGATACCTGTGTCTCCGTCTCGTCAACGATACCTGTCTCTCCGTCTCGTCAACGATACCTGTCTCTCCGTCTCGTCAACGATACCTGTCTCTCCGTCTCGTCAACGATACCTGTCTCTCCGTCTCGTCAACGATACCTGTCTCTCCGTCACGTCAACGATACCTGTGTCTCCGTCCCTGTCCTGTCCACCTTTATTTCTCTACATCGGTCTCCTTGTTATCTCCTGTCCTTATCGCGTTCCTGTCTTTATCACCCTCTCTTTGTTTCTTCTCTCTCTTCTCTCTCTCTCTCTCTCTTTCTATCCTCCCTTACGCCCATCCCAGTCTCCGTCCCTTCCAAACTGTCTTCTCGTCCTGTTTCTCTGTCCTGCTTTTTCCTTCATTGTCCACGCTTGTCCTCATGTCCCTTCTGTCCTGTCCCTTCTCCTTTCATGTCCCTCCCAATCACGAGTTGTCCTTCCCTCCCTCCTTCTTGTCTTTCTTCCTTCCTCTCTTCCTTCCTCCCCCCCCTCTCTCTCTCTTCTCTCCTCTCTCTCTCTCATCCCTCTGTCCTCCATCCCTCTCTCACGTTCTCTATCCCTCCGTCTTTCCTTCACAACACATCATAACACTACTATAATGGTGTAGTGGCACTGACAAAATGTGGAAGACTCTTATTTACAGTTCATGACATTATAGGGATCGTGTCGCCACGAGTGGTGTAACTGAAGTGCCTTTTCCACTTAGCCATACAACACTGTGCATAATAATTGGAACAGTGACGAAATAAGACATTTATTTGGAAAAGTGATGTTCATTTAAAAAATATACTGCAATGGTATGACAGATAATTGAATTAATAAGAAATAAGACTACCCTTAGCTTTATAATCACTGCTACAAGCTTTGACATAGCATCGACCAATGCTGAACACATTTTGGCAAGTTCTTCGTCGTGGTACCAAGTCCTGATAACAGCAGTTAGCTCCTCTACAGTTGAACAGTCCTGTTTTGCGATCCTGCGTTTGGTTATTGCCAGTAGATTCTCAAATGAGATAGTCAAAAGAGTTTCCAACCCGATTTAGAACGCTTAGCCAACTCAATTAGAAGAATGTTATAATTTTTCTGGAAGTGTGGCATGGAGCAAGATCCTGCTGGAAAATGCCTTCTCCATCAGGAAAGTCTCTATCCACAATGGGAAGCAAATGAGTTGCCAGGATTGCTTTGTATTTGTCATTGTTCATCGTTCCCTCAACAATAACACGCCGTCCAGAGCCTCTAGCAGTAAAACCATTCCAAAACATCTTAGGTGGGTGTTTCGGCGCTTGTTGAATGTGTCCATTCCGAAGAGGTTCGCCTTTGTTCCATCTCGCTACCACTGATCTGTAGCTATGTACTTCAAAATGCGCCTCATCTGATAACATAACTTCTCCATTCATCTGTCCTCCATCCCTTATGATCGAGTGCCCACCACAGCCGTTTTTGCTTAATAGCGGCAGTAAATAATTTTCTTTACTGGCTTTCTGGTAGTTCTACCAGCTTCAAAGAACCTTTGTCGAACAGTTAAAGAATCAACATTTATGCCAGCTGAAACCAAATCTCTCTGTATATCTTTAGTTTTTTTTTTTTTTTTGGGTCCTTCAGACTATTTATGATAACCTTGTCATCGTGAGGTGCTATCTTAGTTTTCATCCATATTTTCCCTGATACAGTGCTCCACAATCACCAGTGTCATTAGCTCTTTTCAGAATCTGACTTTGCTAGGCTCAAATTTTCGGCGATCTCTCTGAGACTCAAATCAGCATGTTTTCCAAGAGCTACAATACTTGCACGCTTCCTAGGTGCAACATCCATCGCTAATTTCAGCAGTGATCATGAATTAAAGCGGAGAATTTGGCGAAATCACATTTACTCAAGGATCACGCTTGTAGGAATAGCCTTACAGAACAACAGCTGTTGTAGCACTGAGAGTCACAGAGTGACACCACCGCTGGATGGTTGCCAGAAATCAGTAGCAAACTCTTCTCAAAAGAAAAGAACCCATACTACTAAGTCACATGAAATAATCACAAAATTTACAACTGTCCCAATTAATTTTCACACTGCTGTACTAACACTCCCACCATCGAACACAATCACATTTATTCTCATAATCTGCACAAGATGTTTCCATCCATTGGATAATAAAAAGACAGCATTCACTTGGAATTAAGTCGAGTATTTTTGTATGCCTCTGCATCACTAGACCTACATTTAGATTTAGACAAGGGACACATTTAGAAGATAAAACACACAATCCATATGCTAAAGATAATATCAGTGTAATAGTTGATACTGCTTCAAGATAGATCTATCAAGACTGTAGTAGTAAACACTAGCTGCGAGGCTGACGGACTGACTACCTCATCGTCTGCTGCCTTTTCATATTTCTGTATTGAACTGATGAAGCTACTGGATGGCGAAACATCGGTGTTGTGTACCAATATCGTAATGACTGATGCTTTTTTAGGGAGGGGGCAGCTCTGAGATGTGAAGCTGTGTCACGGCTCTGAGGTGTGAGGCTGTCACGGTCATCGTACAGTGACGTACACCGTCGGTCATGAACAAGATCCATTATACTTCTTCCCTTGACTTGAACGTTGATCACAGCTGCACGTTGTGGTGAGCTGTATGAGGATTTTCAGAACTCTTAGAAACAATTAAAATATTCAAGACCAGCTTCTCGTCAAAAAATTCCCAGTTTAGAATCCTGAAAGTCTACCTTTAGTGTTTTATCCTCTCACAGGCTAAGGAACTCTACCTTCAGTGTGTTACCTCACAAGCCAAGGAAGAAACTGTACCCTTGCCAACACATCCTCGTGTTCGGCTCCTTCACTGACAAAGGTCAGCAGTTCAGTAAACATCTGTCACATTCTCCTGGATTACTCTGCAAGCCTCATAGATTAAAATGTTTCACACACACTCCCAGTGTATTTATGAGTAGGAAAAAAGACCAGATATGTAATAAAATGTTGAGTGTTTAGGTAAAAGAGGCGCGGAAATGTTTGAAACGAGGAAAAATGTATCCAAGGTGTTTTGTGTCCTCGCGGTAATGCGTTACCAGCACATTACGGCCAGATATTGGCAGAAATCCCTCTCGGGGGAGGGGGGAGAGAGAAGGTATTTACATCCAGATTACGAAGCACTGTTCCAGGAGGCTGGCATCTCTAATGTTTACAAGAAACTGGTGCTCACACCGGTACATATCTACCATGATCACTGGAGTATCCAGACAAGTAGCGAGAAAAATGGAAAGTTTGCAGCGAAACGTTCATCACGACGTTTCGTCCAGGATAAACCTTTATTGAGTATATTCCCGTTAAAAAGGTCGAATCCTGGATGAAACGTCATATATTCAAAACGAAAAAAAAAATAGTCGTTCAGAAGACTAACAATAAAGGCAGCGACAAACAGTTGATCTCCTCCAAGTCTTCAGACTTCTCCTCGCGTCTTCCAGCACCAAAATAACTGACGTTAAGCGCTACACACACGTGGGTAATACACCCCAAGACGTGGTGGAGGCTTGATCCTCCGTCTGCTGAGCGTGAGACAGACGCGTTTTCTGTTTGTATTCACCTAGTTTTCCAGCAGTAAAATCTGCAGTTGCTAGATCTCAGTATCAACCCAGGTCAACAGTTCCGAGTTTCCCACTGTCTTAATCACACCTTGAAATTACATGTTTTTTTTAATTTGCACGTTGGTATCTATTACCAAGGTAATAGATACCGACAAATTTATTTAGAAAGACACGGTCCTGGTACTCTGATCACTTCTAACATACGGAGGTACAGGTATGTTCGCCAGGACGGGTCTTGGCCCGGTCTTCTCCATGAAGTGTGACACAGGCGTGTCACTTACACCTCACTCTCCCCATATATATATATATATATATTATATATATATATATATATATATATATATATATATATATATATATATATATATATATATACTGTCTTTTTAACCTCCGTATATTAGAAGTGATCAAGGTCCCAGGACCGAAACGTTTTCTGTCTTTGGGTTTGCTCACTTGTCTTTTAAACCAGTTGCACGTTCATTGCATCGGCTCAGTCTGACAAT